TGATACACAAGAAAGAGACATTAAATAACAATGATACACAAGAAAGAAATATTAAATAACAATGACGGGCAAGAAAGAGACATTAAATAACAATGATACACAAGAAAGAGACATTAAATAACAATGATACACAAGAAAGAGACATTAAATAACAATGATACACAAGAAAGAAATATTAAATAACAATGACGGGCAAGAAAGAGACATTAAATAACAATGACGCTTTAGTTTTACCAAAGATTCTCTACTACCTAGATATTGCAAAGGAAGATGTTGGGGGACTGTTCAAAAACTCAAAGCCTAAACAAAATAGATCTAGATCTAAAAGAGCGTAATCGAAAAAAACTTGGTGAGTGTGAGAATAATATAGATCTATTATATGTGGAGTATTCTCACCCGGGTGCGAATACTCACACCGAAAGCCCAAAGACGGATTGTAATACCTTAGAAGTAGATAAGCTTTGGTAATACTGATACTGGGCCTACTACTTGACCTAGATATTATAGACACAGACTGCAAATTTTTAAATTGAAGAAGAGTAGACCTACCATGTATCTTAGATCTAGTCTACAGTCTATGTCATTAGAACTACTAGATCTAGATCTAGAATCTAGATTCTAGATCATCAAACCTGTCGATATAAAGGTTTTGTTTTTTCTTTTTATGCACCCGTCTCATGTTCACATTTTTTATACTTCTTTTCTAGTAGTATTTTGCACGCTAAACACGAATATGGTCTTCATTTTTGCCGCAAATCTATAGTTATTGAATTATTGATGTTTGAAAATAGTAAATTTAACTATAAATGGACCTAAAAAGAAACTGGGGGGTTTCAGGGGGGCATGATTTCACAATGATTTGATGTTTTGGCAATTAGGATTGATATTTAATTGATAACAATTGATTTGCAAGGGTTTTAGAGGCCATACGTGTGTTCTACAGCAAAAATTGTGGCAGTTTGTGCGTCTATGTGTGGGTGCAAAAGTAACAATTTACCGATATAAACAATAAATTCGCCTTAATATAAACAGTGTTTGGCTCTAGATCTAGATTCTCTCACTTCCCTAATTAACTCAGTAGGATCTAGATCCAAAGGTCAAAGGTTGTTTCTTTGCAGTCCCCCAGTGCATAAAGCAGCGCTTGGGGGCTGCACATTCCCCGAGTGGGTTGCGCTACCGGACTGTACAGTCCCCTAACAACTTCCTTCCGGTTTACCGTGGGCGTAGATACTGAGAGTAGGCGCCCGGTTACCGTGTACGTAGACACTCCGAACACAAAAAAGGAGGAGAGATCAGGACGATAGACGTTTGGTAGGAAAGAAGGAGCAAACTACACCAGAGCACCCGCCAATCACCCTCGGGTATAGGTTTAACGCCCCTATCAACCCTGTTAGATTATCTAAGAGGCGGGACCTCCGAGTTTATTAACGTCCATCTTCGAAAGGACCGAGCCAAACGGGAAATTCGTGTTCAGTAAAGCCCCTCTCCTGAGGACACAACGTCGGACCGAGCTGAGGCTCGAACCCCCGAAACCGTAATCTCACAATTACTGGTCTGGTAGTGGTAGCCTAACCACTTGGCCACCGACATTCTGTTATAAAACATACACATCTTTGAAAAGGGGGAAGTTTTTTTATTTTAGAAAGAACTTTATGGCACTTGCAACACAATAAGGTCATATAAGTGCCGAATATTAGAGGTGTCACAAGAGAGTAACATACCAAAAAAAAGGAGAGAGAGGACAATAGTTTTTAATGGGAAAGAAGAAGCAAACTACACCAGAGCACCCACCAACCAAAGGGGAAGTGTCCCTCTTCTTTAAAGCCATAGATGTGAAAGGGGAGGGTGCTTGGGGGTATGGTGGACTGTCTACAGCGGCCTAATAATATTGCCTGAAGAACTCTCTCTTGGCATCAGACCTTTTCTTCACGGCACAGGCACAGAGATGCTGACAGTTACGGCTTTTTTCTTCCAATCCACCCCACCCACACCCCCTTTTTTTAGTTTTAGTAAGAATTTTACGGCACTTGCAACACAATAGGCCTAAGGTCATATAAGTGCCAGAGATTTGAGGTGTTACAAGAGAGTAACAAACACAAAAAAGGAGGAGAGTTCAGGACGATAGATGTTTGATAGGAAAGAAGGAGCAAACCACACCAGAGCACTCGCCAACAACCCACAATCCCCCCCTCCCCTCTTCCAACAGACACATACACACGCACTAACACATACCCACACATAAACACACTCATACAGGGATACACACACACACACACACACACACACACAAACACACATACTTAATACACAATAAGATAGTTACAACACCAATAACAAGAAAAAAAAAGTCCAACGAGTTCATAGCATGAAAACATGAACATTTATTCATCACATGCCTACAGCAAATGCTAAGCACAGCATAGTTTCACATCGTACACTTAAGTAACATCAGCCTGAAGACCCCAACACTTCAAGAAAAATTTCTTCTGATATTCTGCTGTGAGCTTCACATTTTTTTCTTTCTTTTTTTTTTGTTGTGCAAATGTAAGTGTTTCACACCCACATCCTCACAATTTAAATCTTTCAAGGGGCAGGCTTCCGCCCCGCCTACCAGGTTCAATCTGGGCAGAGATAGATAAAACATCCCGGCAGAAAGACCCATACACTCAATAAAAATTCTCCCCAACCGGGAATCAAACTCGGGTCTCCTTCGAACGATAACCAAGACCCACCCTTTAATCCTGGGCACTCATATTATGATCTATTTGTGCTGCAAGTGCCGTGAAACCTCTCACTACAATAACTCTGACCGTGTCGTGCTAATACACTAGTCTGTTCAATTCTCTCGATTAGACTCGTCCAGTCTATCCCACCATGGGGAAAACATTCACAAAACTAAGGTGAGGCCGGAAAAGCTATCATCCCGATTCAGAATCATACGTGTATATCATCTTTTAAATGAAAAACCAATGACATATATACAATGGTGAGTTAACATTTAAAATAAATAGTCACAGAAAAAGACAAAACAATATATAATGCAATGAGGCAAAAGCTCACCCAGCAAAACCCAAGGCCTAAAACAACAACACAAGTTCTGGACCAGCTGTTCAAATGTACTATAAACCCTACATTTTGACTTTTTTTAAAATTGCTATTCCTAGATCTGTGGTATCATAAGTTACAATAGCTTGAGGGATATTTTGTCAAAATTTAAATTCTAAATGTTGAAAAATAAAAAGCTAGAAAATGAGGCAGAAGAATTTTGGACACAGTTGCTAGAAGTGAGAAACAACCCTGATCACGGCAAAGACAAAACATATCTCTCACTTCACGAGGGTGGGGGACAGGACAACAGCACGGAGAATACAGAACGATGTCACAAGTTTCCTAATCAAAATGACACGTACAAGTAGCTACACAGTCTCAGCCTTCACTGCCATTAGACCGTAGCGCGGCTAGCGAGGTTCGAATCTCCTCCACCATGCTTGCCCGAGGTACCTCCCTCTGTGGACACAGACAGAGAAAAGTCAAAGTAAAAATGTTTATTACGGTTACCTAACCACTAGACTACTGACGAAAAAAAATAAATTTATATCTATTTATATCTTATATACATATTATATATATAAAAAAAGGAAAACTAGCAACAGCATGCAGTTGAACATTTCAGCGGGAGGATTCATCGATCACTTTGGTTTAGTTTTAGTAAGGTTTTACTGCGCTTGCAACAGCATACGGTCGTAAGAGCACCAAGGGGTGGATGTCAATAGAGAAGTCCAAACGGGGAATCAGGCTTACTCTGTTTACCTCTCTAGCCTCAACAGCACAAAGTCTGCTTAGACTATCAAGGCACTCCGGAAAGAGCATTTCACAACAAGAGAGTGACAAACATACAAAAGAAGTAGAGGAAAAAATGATGATAGTAAGGATGAGGACAGAAAAAGCAGCACTTCCACTAATGTTGTTCCAGCACAGATTGAGCATGACAGTGACAAATTACAATTTTATTGTGCATAAGAACACGTTAACATCCCCCCTTTGGGAAAGGTGTAGAGACACTTCTACTTCTAGCACTGCCCTGGGGGTGGGGGGGCATTAATCACTGGCAGTAAAACAAACCCACAGACGCAAAAAACACGGGACCTGCACTAAGAGAAACTTCTACATGGAGGAGGAGGAGGAGGAGGAGGAGGAGGAGGAGGAGGAGGAGGAGGAGGAGGAGGAGGAGGAGGAGGAGGAGGAGAAGGAGAAGGAGAAGGAGAAGGAGAAGAAGAAAAAGAAGAAGAAGAAAAAAAAGAAGAAGAAAAAGAAGAAGAAAAAGAAGAAGAAGAAGAAGAAGAAGAAGAAGAAGAAGAAGAAGAAGAAGAAGAAGAAGAAGAAGAAGAAGAAGAAGAAGAAGAGGAGAAGAAAAATCTTGTTCAATTAAAAACAAAATGCAGGAGAGTAACCAACCTCTTCCCTGGACCCCATGACCTTGAGCTTGACCACACCGTTCTCAATCTCCGACTGACCGATGATGAGGGCCAGTGGGATGCCGTTCTGTTCACAGTACTGGAACTCATTTAGCATCTTGGTATTCTTCTTGTAGGACTGCTCCGTCTGTCGGGGCGCACATACACACATAGAGGGAGATTCAGAAACAATGTTAGTTTAGTTTTAGTAAGAGTTTTGCGGCACTTGCAACACAATAAGGTTATAAAGGTGCTGAAGAATAGAGGTGTTACAAGAGAGTAACAAACACAAGAAAAGAAGGAGGGGAGGTAAAGAAGATTGATTTTTTACAGAAAAGAAGAAGCAAACCACACCAGAGCACCCGCCAACCACCCACAAACAACGTTAACAACATGTCACTGATAATAATAATAAATGTGTCATAACACGGTGGGCTCAGGCACTTGTCAATTTATGGGCATGTTGAGTTAGTGGCACCGTCTTCAAGATACCTATCTCTCTTAAATAGACGTTGAGATAATCGCCATTGAAGGAGGTGAGTTGCTGGTTCCAGTGGAAAAATTAGTGTGGAAAAATGGCCGCCAAAGTTTGGTTATTTCCATAGCTTGAGAGTCCACGGAAATTAAAAAACTTACATTTTTGGGGCCTTTAATCAACGTTTTCAGTCAAAATCCACCCAGAAATGTGTTCTTAATTGCAAAAATAATCGTGTTAAACCGAAAAAACCACAAAAAAACATTCTATTAAAATTACTAAACTTGCAGAAAAAATCCAGTTTCTTCAATTTCACTATTTTGACGAGTGCCTATTTCACAAGACTACCTACAAAATTTGCCAGAAAATGGTCACTGATGACTTCAAAAAAGCCTGAATGTCTTTGGAAACTGCCAATTTACAATTCTCGCACCTTTGATTCACATTATTCGGTAAAATCCACACAGAAATGTGTTTTCTTATCGGACATACAGGATGTTGAGCCAAAAATAATAAAAACAACAAAAATAGCCCAACCGAAAGAGAAATGTCTGTTTCTTCCAATTCATTATTTTGACGAATGCCTGATCTCATCACAATGCTATATAAAAGTCTATATTAAAGGCTTTGGTGTGACCAATTAGAAGTCATGAAACCATAACATGCAACACAAAAACCCCTGAACCTAAATATGGCCTTTCACAGCCCCCAAGCAGTTTCATCTTAATAAGAATTTCCCAGCCCTTGTAGCACAAGTAGATAATATAAGTGTCGAAGATTACAGGGGTTACTAGAGTGTTTTTAGTTTTAGAAGAGGTTTTACAGCGCTCGCAACTGCATAAGGTCATATGAGCGCCAGAAGATTAGAGGTGTTACAAGAGAGTAACAAACATAAAAAAGAAGAAGGGGAGATAAGGACAATAGATGTTTCATAGGAAAGGAAAGAGGGAGCAAACCACATCAGAGCTCCCACCGACCACGCACATCTCCAAGTAGGATAGAAGACCAGTGGCTGGCCCACCAGTACAGCCTAAAGTCGTCCTCCCTCCCTCCCTCCTCTCCCCTCCCTTTCTCTCCCCCCCCCCCCACCTTCTCTCCCCTCCCTTTCTCTCTCCCCCCCCTCCCACCTTCTCTCCCCCTCCCACCTTCTCTCCCCCTCCGTCCCCACATGAGGGGGCTCACCTTGATGTCGGCCTCCCAAAGTGCACTGACCAGCTTGAGACGTTCCTCCACCATGCCCTTCTGTGCGGCGATCACGTACACCTCCGTCTCCGTCGTACGCAGCTTCTTCTCTGCTGCCTGGTCACCATGACATGAGGCAAAAATGAGGTTTGAGTTTTAGTAAGAGTGTTACGGCACTTGCAACACAATAAGGTCATATATAAATGCCGAAGAATAGATGTGTTTCAAGAGAGGAACAAACACAATCAAGGAGGAGGAGAGATAAGGATGATAGATGTTTTAGTTTTAGTAAGAGTTTCACGGCAGTCGCAATTCAATAAGGTCATATAAGTGCCCAAGATTAGAGGTGTTACAAGAGAGTAACAAACCTAAAAAAGAAGAAGGGAAGATAAAGACGACAGACGTTTGATAGGAAAGAAGAAGCAAACCACACCAGAGCACCCGCCAACCACCCACCAAATGGGTTGAGAGTCTGAAAACTCTACAAAATGACCTTAGTTCAAGAACAAGGACCATCAGCTCCGTAGTCCAGCATGATACCAACTGAGCTAATGGAACACCCTCAGACTCCAAACCTACCACTACAATCAAATAAATAGAAAACACAAACTTCAAATCTTCCTCTAAAATCAAGTAATTAGCAAACACAAACTTCAAGCCTCACGCTACAATCAACCACAGAAGACAAGAACAACATGCTACCCTAGAAGTACAAAGTTTTATTTGCTTAGTGCCCAGTTCTGAGAAATGTGTCGTCAAACATTTTTTAGTTTCACATCATGTCAAGCTTTTTTAAACGTAGTCTTTGAATATCTTAATAACGACTCTGAATAATCCAACGATTTTTATGGAGCAGATACAGTATTTGGTGTCTGACCTCGTCAAGGTCTTAGTAACTCAAACTGGCCAAACATGTCAGATAGAACTTTGTAATTCTGAGGAAGCGAACTCACAGCAGGGCAGGGGTAGGCAACAGGAGACATGGAGGTGATGCATGGAAAGGGACAGGAGAGAGATGAAGCTCATTTGGAACGAGCTAGGAAGGACGGCCCAGGAAAGAGATAGATAAATGGGAGGAGTTGTATGTGGCCCATACCCTGTCAGGAGCGAAAAGCATTGATGATGATGGTAGTCACAGTGTCTGCAATGGGGTTCCCACATGGGGTTAATTCTGTTTATGTGCTTGTTGGCGTGTAAGTGTCCTGCCTGGGCTCTGAAGATCAATGTCTGATCGGCTTTACATAAAAGATTCGAAGGGTCTTTGGGGTTGGGTTTGTCAATGTATCCGAAGACATCTTCCTGATTCTGCGTTGACCCATCTCCTTAGCCACTCGTCTCTGTTTTTGGCTTGGATGATCCCTCTGCAGGTCTGTAAAGAGGCGATAAGCGGCGGATAAAGTAAGCAAAGCTATAGATGATGATGAAACTCACCGCAGCCTTGGCCTCCATGATGGAGAAGAGCCTCTCGATGCCGATGCTGACCCCAACACAGGGAACCTTCTTGCCCTTACTGTCAAACATGCCCACCAGGCCGTCGTAGCGACCGCCGCCCGCAACGCTGCCCACGCCCACCGGCTCGTCTGTGTTCTGAGCCACCGCCTGGGCCGTCGAACCTGGGAGGAAAGGTCAAGAACAATTCCATGTACAATCATTGCGAACCTGGGGGGAAAGGTCAAGAACAATTCCATGTACAATCATTGCGAACCTGGGAGGAAAGGTCAAGAACAATTCCATGTACAATCATTGCGAACCTGGGGGGAAAGGTCAAGAACAATTCCATGTACAATCATTGCGAACCTGGGGGGAAAGGTCAAGAACAATTCCATGTACAATCATTGCGAACCTGGGGGGAAAGGTCAAGAACAATTCCATGTACAATCATTGCGAACCTGGGGGGAAAGGTCAAGAACAATTCCATGTACAATCATTGCGAACCTGGGGGGAAAGGTCAAGAACAATTCCATGTACAATCATTGCGAACCTGGGGGGAAAGGTCAAGAACAATTCCATGTACAATCATTGCGAACCTGGGAGGAAAGGTCAAGAACAATTCCATGTACAATCATTGCGAACCTGGGGGGAAAGGTCAAGAACAATTCCATGTACAATCATTGCGAACCTGGGGGGAAAGGTCAAGAACAATTCCATGTACAATCATTGCGAACCTGGGGGGAAAGGTCAAGAACAATTCCATGTACAATCATTGCGAACCTGGGGGGAAAGGTCAAGAACAATTCCATGTACAATCATTGCGAACCTGGGGGGAAAGGTCAAGAACAATTCCATGTACAATCATTGCGAACCTGGGGGGAAAGGTCAAGAACAATTCCATGTACAATCATTGCGAACCTGGGGGGAAAGGTCAAGGACAATGTTTGGGGCTTTTTTTTTGGTAAGTGTTTTACAGCACTCGCAACTGCATAAAGTGATATGAGCGTGCAGGAAACATTAAACATTTTCAGTCAGTAAGATATTTCCAATTTTGCCCAGGTTGCAGCCAAATCCTACTCTTATTGATTTTAGACCACCAAGGGATCTTTAACATGCGTAACTTGCACACGGGCCCTCTGAGATATTTCGCCCTTGTCCGAGAAGGCTAGGTTTAGATCTTTCCTACCAGAAGACATGGGGTGTGGCTGAAAGACAGCAGTAACAAGGAGCCATGGAGTAGCAGTAGAGAGGCTGCAGAAAGAGTCAGGAGCCCAGAGGAGGGGGCAAAGGAGGTGAGGGGGTGGGGGGCAGAAAGTGGAGATGAAAGCAGACGACAGAACATAGAGAGCAGGAAAGGAGGTGAAAGGAGACAATTGTAGAGAAGAAAATTTTTCGGTCGCTACCCGGATTCAACCCGGGACCTTTGAATGAGAGGCCAACACCTTAACCTCTAGACTACGAGAACTCCACGGACAATGTACAGTCATTGCGAACCTGAGTGGAAAGGTCAGGGTCACAGTACAGTCATTGCGTAGTGAACATACAGTCATATATAGCTGCAGACTTTTCAAAACCATACAAAAACACACACTTTATAACTTATAGATTGCAATGTATAGAAAGCACACTTATACGTCCCTTTAAACAAATCCTGACTCAGTTTTAGTTTTAGTAGAGGTTTTACGGCGCTCGCAACTGCATAAGGTCAGATGAGCGCCAAGGGGTGGATGTCAACAGAGTAGTCCTTACAGGGAATCAGACTTAGACTGCTCACCTCTCTAGTTTCAACAGCACAAAGTCTGCTTCGACTATCAAGGCACCCCGGAAATAGCAGTTCACAAGGGAGTGACCATACAAAAGAAGTAGAGGAAAATGACGATAGTAAGGATAAGGAAAGAAAAAGCAGCAGTTCCCTGTTGTAGTTTAGGCACAATTATGAGCATGACATAGTTACATCAGCCCATTTACAATTCTACTGTGCATTAGAACGAGAAATGTCCCCCCTTTGGGAATGGCCAAAAGACACTTCAGTTAGTGGCAACGCCCTGGGGGGTTGACTCTGTTTGAGTGAGCCTGAGGAAAGATAACGCACTATGAATCTTCATAAAGGAACATGGGAACCCACCCCACCAAACAGTGTAATGTGCTGTAAATTATAACCACTATCATATAAATCATCTAAACATCCCCCCCCCCTCTCTTACTTATAAGCAAACTAGAAAACAACGATACACAAAGAATTAATACAGAAATAAACAAACGTGGGGGGGTTAGTTTTAGAAGAGTTTTGTGGAGTTCACAACTGCATAAGGTCATATGAGCGCCATAAGATTAGAGGTGTTACAAGAGAGTAACAAACATAAAAAAGAAGAAGGAGGAGATAAGGACGATAGATGTTTCATAGGAAAGACGAAGCAAACAACACCACAGCACCCGCAAACCACCCACACCCACTTATAAGCAAACCAGAAAACAACTATACACAAAGAATGAATACAGAAATAAACCACTGGGGAAGGGAAGCAAACAACAAACAAACCCAAAATGGACCATAAATCAGCCCGGCTAAACAATCCAAAAGCCGCCAGAGAGAGACAAAGGGTTACCTGTGAGTACAGCCTCGTAGATGACTCCGGTGTAGTAGTCTAATCCTCGGGCCAGGCTCATGTCGAAACACACCTGTCCCACACACAGACACAAACACAAACAACAGCCAGCGTCAGCACAAAAATGTTCTACTTTAGTTTTAGTAAGAGTTTTACGGCACTTGCAACACAATAAGGTAATAAAAGGGCCGACGATTGGAGGTGTTACAAGAGAGTAACAAACATAAAAAAGAAGGTGGAGAGATCAGGACGATAGATGTTTGATAGGAAAGAAGGAGCAAACCACACAAGAGCACTCGCCAACCACCCACAGACAAAATGTATGAACCGTTTAGTACTCCAGCTCATTAAAGTATTTTCCATTTTATAAATAAAACCCAACAAATAGACCAAAAATAACCAAACCAAATAAAACAACAAGGAAAAAAAACAAACATACAATACCCCACCTCAACAAATTTTTTTTTTTTGGGGGGGGGGGGGGGGGCTACGAGTATTATACAGGTGTTACTTTATGCCCCACTTAGAGATAACTGTAGGTGGGGGGTATGAAAATGTTAGCCTGCTAAAGGTGGCAAAAGAGGGGACCAGCTAGACAAGGGTAGACAAGTACTGGGTCTATGGTAACCGTTACACAACAGAGACGCCGGCGGCTGTCGATATTTCCGACTGTATAACGTCAGAGACGCCGTTAAGTTGGCAGAACGTCATCATCAGACATTGATGGACAAACTATTATTATCATTACTTGATCAGAGGCACCGAGGAGTTGGCATTGGTCATCATCAAACATTGATGGAGGGAATATTATCATAATTATTATCATTATCGTTACCTCATCAGGGAAGCTCGCATTATTTATCAACAGACATTGACTGACCAACTGTTACTATAATCAATATTATTATCATCAATATTATTATTATTATCAATATTATTATTATTATTATCATAAATATCATTATTATTATTATCAATATTATTATCATTATTATCAATATTATTATTATTATTATCAATATTATTATCATCATTATTATTATCAATATTATTATTATTATTATGAATATTATTATTATTATTATTATGAATATTATTATTATTATTATTATGAATATTATTATTATTATCATAATTAATTTTTATCATTAATATTATCATGATTATCATTTTCCTCCTCATGACTACCTTATCAGCGACGCCGTAGAGCTCGCAGTAGGTGAGCAGCAGTTTGAGCTCCTCCAGCCCCTCCAGGGCGTTCTTCTGGGCCTTGAGGTTCTCGTCCGTCAGCAGCTCGTTCACCTGACCGATGCCACCTGCCGACCACAGAGACAACGCATTGTTAGTTTGTTTTAGTAGAGGTTTTTACGTTGCTCGCAACTGCATAAGGTCATATGAGAGCAAGAAGATTAGAAGTATTACAAGAGGGTAACAAACATAAAAATGAAGGAGGGGAGAGAAGCACGACAGATGTTTGATTGGAAAGAAGGAGAAAACCACACAAGAGCACCCGCCAACCGCCCACACACATTGTTTGTTTTTGTACAGAGAATAATAATAATGATAATAATAATAATAATAATAATAATAATAATAATAATAATAAAAGACAGCATTTGTACAGCGCAAATCCCTGCTCAACAGCAAGCTCTATCGGCTTCGCAATCTATACTATTACCCCAGCTGACCTGAGAGCATTGTGAAACAATCTAAACTTCCTGGGAAGCATACAGTGCAAGCAGCCATTTATAGGCGCTAAAACACAAACATACTGACAAGATCTTTCGCTGTCTATGGCCGGGTACCCATTCTCACCTGGGAGAAGGGAGGAAAATTCATGTAAAGTGTCTTTCCCAAGGACACAGTGTCTGGCCCGCGGCTCGAACCCCCGAACCCGCAACCTCACAATTACGAGTCAGGCAGCCCAACTACTCGGCTACCAACACCACAAAGAGTAACAACTTGTTAGTTTTGGTAAGGTTTTTGTGGCGCTCGCGACTGCATAAGGTCATATAAGACACCAAGTGGTGGGTGCCAACAGAAAAGTCCAAACGGGGAATCCGGATAACTCTGCTCACCTCTCAATTGTTTTAGTAAAGTTTTACGGCGTTTGCCACTGCATAAGATCATATGAGCGCCAAGGGGTGGATGTCAACAGAGAAGTCCAACCAGGGAATCAGGCTTACTCTGCTCACCTCTCAACTAAATTAGTAAGGTTTCACGGTGCTTGCAACTGCATAAGGTCATATGAGCGCTAAGGGGTGGATGTCAACAGAGAAGTCCAAATGGGGAATCAGGCGTACTTTACTCACCTCTTTAGCCTCAACAGCACAAAGTCTGCTTCAACTATCAAGGCACCACGGAAATAGCAGTCCCGCTATGTTGTTCCAGCACAGTATGAGCATGACATTGATAAATCAGCCCATTAACAATTCTATTGTGCATAAGAACATGTTAATACTGCCCTGGGAATGGCCTCAAGACACTTCAGTGAGTGGCACTGCCCTGAGGGGACAACGCATTGTTCGTAGGAGTAGAGAGAAACAACACATCGACGCTGTAATGGTACTTTCCGTTCATCTGTCACCCCTCATTCTACCAATGTGACCAGCCCATTTCCATCAGAGAATATATTTAGGCACATCTCCAAAACCAGACTTTACAACAATGAAACAAGTCAGGAACAGTCAATACATAAGATAATTATTACTTTGTTGCCACAAAAAGTAATAAAATAATAAGACAGGAACTGTTACGGCAACAAACTACACCCTGCCATAAATCCTCACCTTTGAACCCTACATACTCTCCAATCATGTCTGCAGCTTTAGGATCCAGACCCTTTTCATCCACCATTTCACAGCGGACGTCATTCCAAAATGTCTGAAAAAATTGCGTGTAAGCATGAATAAAATCTGTAAGGAAGCCCGAGATAGAATACAAAAATAGCAGTTACAAAATCAACGACTGAACGTTACGACAGATGACAATAGTCCTACATAAACAGATCAGGGGAAATGACATTAAAAAATAAGCAGTGTTACAAGCAGTTCAAATCAGTTTCCACATTCAAAGTGCTTTTTCTTGTCTAAAAAAAGAAAATATTCATAGGTAAAATTTCTGCTTTTAGTCAGTTTTATGACACTTGCAACACCAACTTGTCATACAAGTGCCAAAGACAGAGGGGTTACGAGAAAATGATACACAAAGAAAAGGTAGAGAGACAAGGATGATAGCTGTTTGAAAGATATGAAAAAAAGAGCACACCACACCAGAGAACCCGCCAACCACACACATCTGTAAAAACTTTGTGACATATTTCTGAAACTACAACAATATAAAAATTAACTACAAAAACATGTGAAATCTTGGGTACTAATTCTGAAAAGCACAAACTCCAAGCCCGCTATCAACACTCATGGCCAGCGAGCAGCAGCACAACGATGGGAAATCTCTCTGCTCTTAGAATAACCACTGAGCAAATGTTTGTGCCTGTGTCTTGCACTGTATGCTTCCTGGGAAGCCGATTATGTTTCTGAGCGTTCTGGGGTCTGATGGGGTAATGGTAGTTGTAAGGCACATGGAGCATGCTTTAATGCGTGGATATGCTCTATATAAATGCAACTATTATTATTATTATTATTACTATTACCATTATTACAGATAAACTGATCAATCTGGTAAGTTTCACCTACTTTGTCTAGTTTATCCACAGAGGAGCAGATTGGACGGAACTTATCGTCGGGCACTCCGCAGGCTGCAAACATTCCATCCAACAGTTTTCTGTGGTTCACCTGGAGAGAAAACAATATTTTTGTTGTAGTAGAGGTTTTACGGCGCTCGCAACTGCATTAGGTGCCAAGGGGTGGATGTCAACAGAGACGTCCTTGCAGGGAATCAGGCTTACTCTGCTCATCTCTCTAGCCTCAACAGCACAAAGTCTGCTTCGACAATCAAGGCACCCTGGAAACAGCAGTTTACAAGAGTATGACAAACATACAAAAGAAGTAGAGGAAAAATGACGATAGTTAGGATTAGGAAAGAAAAAGTAGCAGTTCCCTGTTGCAGTTCAGGCACAGTAATGAGCATGATATTGATGATCAGCCCATTTACAATTACAATTCTACTGTGCATAAGAACATAATTAATGTCCCCCCTTTAGGAATGGCCTAAAGACGAAAACAATGTGGTTAAGTAGAGGAAGTTGTTTTGTTCCATTACACACAGAATCAACACAGCAACTGAAACATTTCACCAGGAAAAAATAAGGGCAGCAGTCACACTGCGTACTGAAAAGATGCAGAAAGAGCAGACCGGGCCAGATTGTTTAAAAGAACCATCAAAGTTTTGATTAAATTTAGAGTTTGTGTACATATTTCGGAATTCAAAGTTTGTAAAGGTTTAAAAATGCAATTCCAATACGCTCTTAACTCGGCAAAACTCAAATTTCTCATCACACACACACAACACATTAGTCAAACAATGAGCACTGCACAACTTCTCTCACATCATTTAGTAAAAGTTTAACGTCACTAGCAACAAAATAAGACCATATAACTGCCGAAGATTAGAGGTGTTATAAGAGAGTAACAAACACAAAAAAAGGGAGGGGAGTTAAGATGACAGAAGTTTGATAGGAAAGAAGAAGCAAAAAAACCAGAGCACCCGCCAACCACCCACTCAATCAAACTATAACACTGCTATCACCAAAACAAAATATATATATATATATATGAGCAAACAATATCCCAGAGTCCTATGGATCAGATTTTTTTTAGCTTATGCAAAAATGGACAGATGAAATATTTACAAGTTTGACTTGAAACTTTTCAGGCTGAAAACAAGTACATAGCAGAATTCAACAGATAGCTGATGTTACAGAACAAAATGTAAAAACGATGTGATCATGATATTAAATATTAAATAAATTCAAACTGTTCAAAACATATCTGCAAAAACTTACCTTGACAACAAAGTCTCCGATCTCTAAACTGGACAAGATCTCTGTGACAATTTTGATACACTCCGCGTCCGGCAACATCAGGTCGTACTGACCAGCGATGTCAAAATCCTAGGGGGGGTGGGGGAGAGAAAGACACACAACACAAAAGTCTTTGTTACAAACTCAAACAGAAGAGAAGATTTCTCCTTCCGGTGTCAGGACTGGATCTTGTATCAGGTGAAACCTGACCACAAAACAAATATCAAAGGAACAGAAAGAAAGAAAAAAGAGAAATGGAAAGAAGCAGGGTACACCCACCTAACACCCTCCTATATTTTGCCATATTTTCAATAAGGTCCTTGAGCATGCAGACAAGTCGCAACCTCAGAATTACAAAGTTCTATCTGCTCAATACCTAGTTTTGAGAAGTTTGACGTCAAAGATTTCGAGTTCCACAACATGTCAAGCTTTTTCGTAAACAATTCTTTGAATATTTCAATATCAACTCCGAGTAATTTTACAGCCTTGATGGAACAGATAGAACATTTGGTTTCTGACCTCATGGTTTTAGTAACTCAAAACGGCCAAAAATGTGAGATAGAACTTTGTAATTCTAAGGTAGCGAAGTGTTGAGAAAACTAAGGAAGTATCCATCTAAGACCACCATTCCAGTACAGCACTGTGTTCCACATAAAACATTACAGGGACAAGAACATCCAAACTGACCCCTATTGGCCTTTATGGAAATTATGAATAACGTTTGAAATTTTTAATGTTAATTAAAAAGTTACTTTAAACTATGAATTTTTTTAACCTAAAATTTTCAGCATTTTAACATTTTAATCGAAATTTTAACTGAAATTAGGGCGTGCGGTGAACTGTTGCGAATAAAACCAACTCGTTTCGCGCGTTCATATGCCCTTATGCAGTTTCGAGCGCCGTAAAAGTTTTGCTAAAACTGACTGAACCCTCCCTCCCCCCATTGATGAGCGGAGAAGGAAGAGAGGTGTGACTTACACACTGGTAGAACTCTCGGTAGCGGCCCCTGTTCATGGCCGGGTTGTCTCTGCGGTACACTTTGGCGATGTGGTACCGTTTGATGTTGGACACTTTGTTCATGGCCAGGTAGCGGGCAAACGGCACCTGCAAACAAAGGAACACTCAGTGCACAATGCTGCAATCCACCACATATCAGGCACAACGTGGTGAAGTGCTTTCATAGCCAACAACTGTTCAAAACCCCCCTAAAAATGGTGGGCATTGGACCCCTGTACATACAGTTTTCTGCATTAACTAAATTCAAACTGTTTAAAGGATACCGGCAACAATAATGTCCAAAATATATGGTACAGGGCTTGTAAACTTTGTTCTCATAATAATTCACAAACCCTGTCTTGAACATTCATAATCTTTTTTCGTCAGTAAAGAGCAATATTAGTAAACAAAGAATACGTATTTCTGTGCTCAGGCCCTCAAAAACGTAGTGAGTACACATTATTTAATAATGTACAGGTTGGCAGGTATGTGCTTTTGACAGACTTGTGTCCAGTCAAACCAGATCTGGAAAGTGATTATCACCAAATCACTTGATTTAGTTTTATAAAAATAGGGTTTTACCACAAGTACAAGACAAACTGGTCATTGTAATAATGCTGAAGATTAGAGGTTTAATAAGAAAGTAAGATGCCAAAACAAAACAAAAAAGAAGGAAGAGAGATAAGCACAATGGATATTTGATATTAAAGCAAAATCCCAAAATTTTGGACATGTGAAAACATATTCAAGTTTTATAACACATTGATCAGAAATGAGTTATCACAATTCTTGAGAACAACGAAGATGACAGAATCCTGCAGAACTCAGGACTTTCAAGGAACTCTGAAAATGCTTCCAGCAACTAAAAACCAAAGTCAAGACAAAAAGCTTACTGTTAGATCATATCTGAGAGCCAGAAGCTCTCCCCCCTGATCAGCCAGATCATAAATGAGTTTCGAGTCCTCGCCATACTTCCCAGTCAGCGTTTCCTGGAGAGAAAAACAAAAACAAACAATGAACAAAAAAACCCAGCAGGCTTTTATTTAAGGAATAAAATGAACTGTAAAAAAAAATAATTACATCTTGAAACTTGTGAGAAATGATAGGTGTACAGACAAAATGAGTTACTTCTCGCAATCCACAAATGGAAATATTAGCCAAAAGTCAAAACTAGGGTCTAATTTGTAGATTTTCTATTGTGATGCCATATTCTTTAACTATAACATGCCTTTTATAATTTTTCATACTTATAAATTGTAAAAACTTCACCTACACGCGTGATGAATCTATTTCCACAGGGCTCAGATCCGAGAAGTAACTCATTTTATCAGCACTCTTCACAAATTGTTGTTGCCTCAGCGTTAGAACTACAAATCTTTCTCTCCTCAGATATCATTCACACAAACGATTTATGCTTAAAGAGCAAATTTTTTTTAAAAAGGTAAATAAAACAACATTTTACATTGTCTCAATTTAGTAAATTGAGACCAAATACATTTTTAAAACTTTGATAGCACAGTAACTTATTTTCAACTACAAAATGACAAAGTGTGCTTAAAGAGAAAGTGGGTAACCCGAAAATGCAGAGATGACAACTCCGACCAACCAACGTTGCACTAACCTTAAACTGATATTAACACACAGAATGGCTTGAGATGTCAATCTTACAAACTACCCTCTGTATCCACCTTTAGCTGATATCAGGGTTCATACTGAGCACGAGATTTTTTTTCCCAAGAGTTTTCAAGACCAGATTTCTTTTTTCCAAGACAAATAACGTGTCATTTCGGAAGAAAATTTTCATTCAGCATGCAAAAATAGATCAAGTTACACTTCAGAAAGCGTAAAGTCGAGGCCTTCTAAACTTTGAGGAAATATTTTTACAATAGATTTAGGTAAAAATGTGTTTTCCCCAAGACTTTTCAAAGAATTTTCCTAATTTCCCAAAATTCCAAGAGTTTTTCATGTCTTGGAAAATAAAAACAAAATTCCAAGAGTTTTCCAAGACTCGTACAGACCCTGTTATTTGAACATACTGAATGGTTTGAGGTGTCAGCCTGACAAGCTAATGGCCGCTGTATGTTAAGTACCCACCTTCAGCTCAAACACTGGGGTGTCGATGGTCTCGGCCCCGTGACGTTTGAAGCAGGCGATGATCTTGCTGAACACCCCCTCCCTGATGGCCATCTGACCGGGGGCAAAGTCTCTTGTGCCCTGTGCATGGACAGGAAGGGAGGGGGTGAAGAAAAAGTCAGCATGAATGACAAAATGTGAGGCAGCGTGGTGAAATCAGGCACTCGTCAAAACAATGAAAGTTCAGAAGCTCGCATTTTTCATCAGGTTTGGGAATTTTTATAGAATTTTGGTTATTTGGCTGAACATCTTCCATGCCCCTTTACAAACACATTTCAGTGTGTATTTTACTGAAAAATGTTGATTAGAGGCAAAACAAATTTTAATTTTCAGTTTCCACGGACTCAGTCTCCAGCTAAGGAAATAACTTAACTTTGGCGGACACTTTTTTGCTAATTTTACCTCTGAAACCAGGCGACCCCCACCTCCTTCAATTGCCAATATCTTGACTTGTATTCAAGATAAATGGATCTTTTTTTCACCAAAAGCAAGACAAATGATCAGGCTTTAAGATGACACCAATAACTCTGTATGCCCTAAAATTGACGAGTGCCTGATTCCACCACGTCGTAACACATATATATTCAAACCGTGTCTGAAGTGAAGTGTACGTTTACCCCCCCCCCCCCTAGCAGCTCCCTTATGGATAAACTAATAATGTAAGTATTTTTACATCACAATTTCAATTACTAATGAGACAAGCTTCCGACCCGGCCTGTCAGGGGGCCAAGATGGGCAGAGAGCGATACAACATCCAAGTAGAAAGATCGAGACGCTCCATAAAAATTCTCCCTTTACAGGAATCAAACATGGCTAATCACTACACCACAGACTCTGATCCTTATGTTCTTAGCAAGATCAGATATGGAAGAAACTTAAAATTTACAGCAAGTATTACCAACCAAGGGATAAACACTGAAAGCAAGATTAGCATAAACTTCCGTTTCTGAAGCAGTAATAAAAAGACTTTGATGTGACTCATCAAACAATTCCTCATTCATTTTCTATATTAATACTGATTGCATTTATTAATAATTCATTGTCTATAATAATAATACATGCATTTATTTATTAATAATTCATTACCTATAATAAGAACAAATGCATTTATCAATAATTCATTGTCTATAATAATAACACATGCATGAATTTATAAAGCTTATGTCCACACTCTGAAGCAAGCTCTATGTGCTTTACAATTATCATTTCCCCAGTAGACCCTAGAACACAACTCAGCTTCCTGGGAAGCATACAGTGCAAGCTATGGATTGCATGTGCTCAAACATAGACAAACTGACGAGACCTTTCACTATCTATAGAGCCGGGTACCCATTTCCATCTAGGTGAAGTGAGTGAGGAAAACTCGTGTACAGTGTCTTTCCTTAGGACACCACGTCTGATTCCTGATGGGATTTGAACCCAAGACCTTACGGTTGAGAGCTCCAGTTTCTAACCACTAGACCAGCAACACTATGTTGCCTTGAGCACGTCTTTAAAGATATTTAACAGTTTTATGACAGCATTTTTCTCTTTATTCTCCTTTCCCGCACGCAGACGTACGTCTCACAGGCCAGAGCTCAAAAGATAAAACAAGACAAAATATGGAAAGATGGAAAGTAGCAGACATTGATCTTTTCTCAGACTTTCCATTAGTGGAGGGCGGTAAGGTTCCCAATTATTGAAAGCTTGGAGTCATAGGAATCCATTCCGAACCCAATTACTTTCTCATGACCATGGATGAAAGTTAAACTATTTACATTGTACTGACAGGGGTGTAAAAAAACAAACCTATATTAGGAATAAGAAATGAAACTGTGCGTCTCACTCTTGGAGTATTAGGAAAAAGAAATGAAACAGTGCGTCTCACTTTTGGAGTCTTAGGAATTAGAAATGAAACTGTGCGTCTCACTTTTGGAGTATTAGGAAAAATAAATGAAACTGTGTCTCATTTTTGGAGTATTAGGAATAAGAAATGAAACAGTGCGTCTCACCTTTGGGGTCTTGAGGACAAACTTCTTGGAGCCTTCATCTCCCAGCTGTTTCTTCAGCTCCAGCAATTTGTTCACCTCCTCCGTCACCTGGTCAGTGGGGGACACACACAAAGTGAGAGAAGTTTTAGAAACAGTCTTTTTCTTTCAGTAAGAGTTTTACTGCACTTGCAACACAATATGATCAAATAAGTGCCGAAGATTAGAGGTGTTACAAGAGAGTAACAAACAAAAAAGGAGGAGAGATAAAGATAATAGATTTTTTATGGGAAAGAAGGAGCACACCCCACCAGAGCACTCGCCAACCACGCACTAAGAAAGAGTTTTACGGCACTTGCAACATAAATAGATCGTATAAGTGTCGATGGTTAGAGGCATTACTATGTATGAGTAACATACAAAGAAAATGAAGGAAGAGTTTATTTTAGTGTAAGGAGTTTTACAGTATTCATACAACACACAGACGTAATATAATTGCGGCAGATTAGAGGTGTTACTAGAGAATAAAGTTTGAGTTAGAGGAAAGAGAAGCACATCGACGCAATAACGAGTCATAGCGCAGGGAAGAAGCACAACAGAGAGACAGAAACAAAAGAGGAAAGAAATAAAGTAGGACCTACCAGTGGCACTCTCCAACAAACCACAAAGAAGGGACATTATAAGGATAATTATAGATGTTTGATCGGAAAGAAAGAGCTAAGCTTACCACAGCAGAACACCCACCAACAAACTCAAGGACCACAGGACAGAACACGGATCTTGCAAAACAATTAGTTTATATAATTGCAGAAGAAGAGTAGAGGAGTTGCAAGAGAGTAACAAACACAAAAAAGAGAAAGATGGTAGATAATTTGACAGGAAAGAAGGAGCAAACCACATCAAAGCACCGACGAACCACCCTACCAAAATAATGAAACCCGGAAGACCGTTCGTAAATACTTTATTTAAATTCTTAAGAGGGGAAAAAAGGGTGTTTTTTGTTGCTTTTTTTGTTCGTTTTTTTTTCTGCTGGTTTTCTTTTCAGGGGGAGGGGGGGGGGGTCACCTTCTCAGTTTTAATAGTTTTAGTAAAGTTTTTACAGCACTTACAACACAATAAGGTCATATAAGTGCCTAAGATTAGAGAGAGTGTAACAAGAGAGTAACAAACACAAGAAAGAAGGAGGGGAGATAATGACGACAGTCGACCGAAAGGAAAGAAGGAGCTAACCACACCAGAGCAACCGCCCACGGTTCACTTTTAGGGCCACAAACAAACAAAGGCCTCAGAGCGTAGGCGGACAAACACGGGCGCATGTTGTGAACCCACCAGGTAAACTGTCACGAGTCTGGGGCTGTTGTGCTCCCCCCCCCCACCCCCCCCGGCACCTCAGTTCTCTCTGAAGTGTCTTTAGTCTCTCTCTCCCGGGCTCGTTCCACCTGTCTGTCTGTCTTTCGGCACCTCAGTGAGTAAGGAGATGAACAACACAGCGTACAAATGGTCGCTTTTAAGGACAAGTGGGCTATCTTAAAAAAATGCTATTTTGAGAAAATCGAAGGTGAAGTTTTTGCCTCTTGTTCAGTTTCATTAAAGAACAATGAGAGTTTTCTCTATAAGTAAACAAATATTCCCACCAATGAATCCAAACTTCTCCTATAGGTAGGGCAACGCCTACTTTTGGTGTAGGTCAAGATTTCTGGAAACCCCCGAAATCTGGGTTAGCCCGCTTGTCCTTAAAAGCGACCAGATTACATCCTTTGCCCTTCTCTTATCTTGGTCATCACTGTCCAAATTTGGTCCATCAAAGGAAATTGTTACTTTCTCCTGGCCTGACTCGGCCCGGTAACAAAAAAGGCATGTAATCATGTATGCAATGTTTGACCCATAACAAGAGATATTATGTGCACAGCCTGTATTTTTTCATTAGAATAGTATAGTAGAGGGTTTTACGGCGCTCGCAACTGCATAAGGTCATATGAGCGCCATTTTTTTTCATTAGATTATGGAAACTTTATTTAACAAAAGAGTGTTTAGTATGATGTTATGTGTGCCACTGGCCTCAAATACTGAATAAACTTACAAGAGAGTAACTTACACAATGAAGACGGATGATAGATAAGGATGATAGATGTTTGATAGGAAAGAAAGAGCAAACCACACAGAGCACCCGCCATTTCAAGTCCGGTAGACTAACCACAAGGCTACCGACGCCACAAACGAAGGTACGGGGGTACAAACTTTACGGACCATAATACTGTTGTTTAATCTATCTCGTATCACAACCTCAAATTCCGGAAAAAACTGGACGTTCTCAATGATTCTGGACTTCAAGATTTATCGGGGGGAAATCGGCACGTCTGAAGAGAAGTAAGTTATGTCAGAGGTCATTAAAGGGAACATCGGGGTTGTTTTTTGTTTTGATTTACAATAAACATTCCAGAGTGGCAAACATTCTAATCTCCTCATCCCCCCCCCCCCCAAAAAAAAAAAAGTTTTAGTTTTCGTAAGTGTGTTCACGGCACTTGTAACGTAATAAGGACATATAAGTGCCGAAGATTAGAGGTGTTACTGGAGAGTAACAAACACACAAAAAAAGGAGGAGGGATAAGGACGACAGATGTTTGATAAGAAAGAAAAAGCAAACCACACCAGAGCACCCACCAACCACCCCCCCCCCAAAAAAAAACACAAAAAAACAACAACCCCCACAGAAAAACAAAACAACAAAACCGAAGTTATATAATATATATACCCAAGCTACTAGGGACATATCTACGACCAACGTATCAGCTGACCCAGTTCCCGGGCAAACAGCAGGAACCTGGATGATGCAACCTACAGACACAGACAGACAGACAGACAGACAGACAGACAGACAGACAGACAGACAGACAGACAGACGGCACCAGGGGTCAGCTATCGCCTATAGTTTTAGTTTTAGTAAGAGTTTTACGGCACTTGCAACACAATAAGGTAGTATAGTGCCGAAGATGAGAGGTGTTACAATTTAAGAGAGTAACAAACACAAAAAAGAAGGAGAGATAAGGACGATAGATTTTTTTTATCATAGGAAAGAAGGAGCAAACCACATCAGAGCACCCGCCAACCACCCACCAGCCATCGCCATATACAGCCGGTCACGACATCGTGAGAGAGCACGACATGATAATGAAATGTTAGATGGATCGATGCCAGCACCCATTAAGGTGTACGTACAACTTGTTTAACCCCTCGCATACACAGTTTAGATTTGGTAGAGGTTTTAGTTTTACAGCGCTCGCAACTGCATAAGGTCATGTGAGGGCCAGAAGATTAGAGGTGTTACAAGAGGGCAACGAACGTAAAAAAGAAGGGGAGATAAGGACGATAGATGTTTGAGCGGAAATAAGAAGCAAACCAAACAGGAGCACCCGCCAACCACCCACTCTAACGACTCATATCAGCCTGTCTTTGAGCTTTTCGACTAAGACATTTTTAGTAACCTCCATCAGTATATCATGCTATAGGGACATAATTCTCGCACTATCTGCCTTTTTGTTGACTCTGCCGCGGAAGTCAAAGATCAAAGAACTACGAACAAAAGAAATAGCTCCTCCATGGCAGCCAAAGATCAAAGAACTAAGAACACAAAGATCAAAGAACTAAGAACACAAAGATCAAAGAACTAAGAACACAAAGATCAAAGAACTAAGAACAAAAAGAAATAGCTCCTCCATGGCAGCCAAAGAAAAAAGAACTAAGAACAAAAGAAATAGCTCCTCCATGGCAGTCAAAGATCAAAGAACAAAAGAACTACCCCCCCCCCCCCCGGGGCCGTCAAAGATTTAAAAAACCCACCTAAGAACAAAAGAAATAGCTCCTTTAAGTAGAGGTTTTTACTCGCTCGCAACTGCATTACGTCATATGAGCGCCAAGGGGGGGAATGTCAGCAACCTCACGGCGGACTATCTGATACAAGTATATTTATAAATAAGACATGAATCAGCTAGTAGGACAAAAACAAAACGATACATATTAGCATTAGTAAGAAGTTGAGAAGGGCAACCCGGACGGAGAAACCGTTAGGCTAGGCTACCTCGCGCGCTTTCTTCCCAGTCTTGGCCGAGATTCGGATACTTTTGTGCACCCCTCCGTCCACCTGAGCCATCGAGCCGTCCATCCCACTCGACACTCTCGACACTCGCGACACACACGCGACAAACCGCCCGACAATATCCGATTCCACAAAACCAAATAATATCCCGGCCAGCCACACACAGCTTGTTTCGTTTTCTCTAAGCGTTTTACGGCACTTGCAACACAATCCGGTCACATATAATAAGTGCCCAATCACACAGCTTGTTTAGTTGTTGTTGTTTTTCTAAGCGTCTTACGGCACTTGTAACACAATCAGGTCATATAAGTGTCGAACAACACAGCTTGTATTGTTTCAGTGAACGTTTTACGGCACTTGCAACACAATCAGATCATACAAGTCGTGTAGAACCACAAACAGCTACTTTGGTTTTAGTGAACGTTTTACGCCACTTGCAACACAATCAGGTCATACGAGCGTCGAATCACACACAGCTCGTTGACAATGCTCCGAAGTAGAAAACAAAAAAGTCCCACAACAATATCAACTTTCCGAGGACACAAACTGTGATGAAATGTCCGAGCTACTGCTCCACGTCAGGTACTAACTCTCCCTTGCATAAACAACAAATACCGTGCGTGCTGGTGGGAAGAAGAGAAAAAAGAACACAGGAAACAATCACTTATGGAGCGGTCAGAAACAACTCTTGCCAGTCTGACAGCCTCACGACCTGACGGCCTTATCATCAGCAACACGTGTCTGTCTCTCACACACGGACACATACACAGGCACGCTCATACATGCACGCAAACACACGCACATACACAGGCACACACACACACACACACACACATACACACACACACACACATACAGACATGAATACGCATACAAACACACACAAACACATATACAGGCACGCATGTTCGACTGTTATCTAGTTTGTTTGTTCGTTTGTTTGTTTGATACACACAAACGGTCATTTAGTGCTGGGGAAAAGTAAGACAGACAATTATACTCGAACAAACGTGAGACA